TGATATGAAATTGTGTCTGCCTGGAAGGCTACTATGTTTATGAGTGGAAGCCTCAGAAAAGAAGAAGCTCTTTGGTTTCTCAGAAAATTATATATTTCTATTTTGAGCAAATAGTTCTATAACAGTGATTCTAGATGAATAAATATGCCTTTGAAATAGCAATTGACTTACTAGTATTTCATTTAAAGACAAAGATAATATCCATGTGAAAAATCTCAAGTATCTATGAGGAAAAAACATCAGACACCAATAAATTCCATCTCATAATTGTTTGACACAGACATGCTGCAAAATTATTTAAATTGCTGTATGAATTTTAGTTCTGAGAGTACCAATGTATTAAGGCACTAAAATTTAAAAAAATCCAATAATTTTTAGTGGAAAGTTTAATGTCTTATTAAACAGGTCGATACACTTTTTTGGACAAATGATCTTCTTTTTGTTATTCCATAGTTTACCCACGTGTTCCCCTTTCCGATGGAATCAGCCAAGTAACTTATCGGAAGCCTTCTCAGTGAATGAAGCACAGAGAAGGTGAGGGAAGCAGTGTGTAAGTGTAGATAATGCCAGGTGCACAGTGAAAAATCATTGCAAAAAACGTATCCTGCTCTTCTGGAGCGTGTGAGTGGGAGACAAAATAATTTCCTAAGAATGTTCTAAATTGTGTATACTTCCTGTAGGGCTAATATAATAATAGACCCAAAACCTAGCACAAGAAAACAAGAGAATGTGCATGCATTGTAAATTATATATATATATATTTTTTTTTTCACGAAGTTTAAAGAAAGTTTTGTTTGGATTATGTGAAGGTTTTCTTTGCCTGCAGGCTTGTATACAGGATTTATGAAGAAATGGAACAACAGAACTGAGTTCCACTGATAGAGGAATAGCCTGGAGATTTCAAAATTTTATATGTTGAGGGTTTCTTATCATATAACCTCAAGTTCCTTGAGTAAAATTGAGAATTAAGGAGAATGCAAAAAGGAACTCTAAAATGATGTCAGTGTCCACGCCTACTAAAACTTTTGCCCGTTATCGAAATAGAGTCTTGCAGAAGTGCCTGTAGAATTGCCTGCAGTCTTCTGTATTCCCAATTCTATAAGTTCTGATTTTATTGTTTAAAGTAGAGAAGGAATAGCTATGTGAATTACTGAATGAGGATATTGGAGGAGGAGCAGTGTGTCCCTCACACTCCAAAAATAGGGAAGGAGAAGCCACAAAATGCAGACACACAGAAAGGCTTTCAAAATGCAGAAGTCTGGGGAAACCAGAATGAAGACAAAAGTTTTATATGCACTTTAAACAACTAAAGTTAGTGATTTTTCAGTTTGCAAAATATATGATGTATATATAGTATTATGACTGTTATTAGGAGATGATATTGGGTAAAATATCCATGTTTAAGAAGGAAGATGCAGAAGTGTTTTAGAACAATTTCTTTCAAAACATTTCCACCAGAAGTGGTTTAAGTAATAACTAATGCTTCTGTGCTTAAGCAAAGCCTGTCATTTAGCAACAGCAAGGCACAAAATGCAATAAGCGTGAGATCAGAATCAAGGCTCTCTTGTGTGTGTGGCACTGGGAAAGTTTGTGATTCTGTCTCATTTTTCTCAACAAATGGGCTTGATGTATACCTACATAAAATGAGATTTAACGAGGACTAAATTAGTTAACAGAGACAAAAACTAAAAAGATGCATGGGATTGAAGATTTTATATTATGAATTTACCAAATCATTTCTGTATGGAAAATTATTTAAAGAAATATTTTAGGAAAGGATATAAAGTTGTCATTAGCACTTGCTGTTCTATAAATTTGTCTTCATACCGATGCCTGTTTTCTTTCATTCCAGAGTGACTGAAATAGGAACCCATGAAATTCTTCAGCTTCAGAGTAAGAAATTAATTCATGTTTCTAATCAATATTGTGTACTTTTCCAAATTTCACTGCATAATCACTGTGCTTTCTTTATTTGTGATTTTCTGACTTTTCTGAGCTCTGAGAATTACTTCTGACCCTGGGTAACTCAGCAAATTAATGGGACTTTCATTGAATGTTGTAAAAATAGCTGAGCTACTGACTTAAAGATGATGAAAGTTACTTTTCCCTGAATAAGCCCTTGATTTTATTTTGACTTTAAAGATTTTCTTCTGGAAACATTAGGATACCTTGATGAATTTGCTAACTATGGAATTTGGAGAAGTAATAGTAATTAATGGAGTAAGTCTTTATTGGTATCTTTAAAGACTATTAAGCTCCAGGCTTCATCAGACTCTGCAGATCTGTACCTTTCTTCTTCCAAAATCCTTTCACTTAAACAGAAATCTTGACTCCATTGGCTAAAGGTAGAAATTCAGAATCATTAGCTAAATTAATTGTTTCATGGGCTTGGTCTTTAGAATGTTACAAACTGTAATGGAATTACTGAGTTGAGAGCAATTAATTGGATGTACTTCAAATATATTCTAACCTAATGCTACACCTGGCACTCTTTATGGCCACTTAAAAACTACCAAAAGAAAACTGTTGATGAATCCCAGTGCCATCAAAACAAACCATCTAGAACAGCTTAAATTTGCCTCAGATCTGTGTAGTTTATATCACCTCACAATCTGAAAAGGCATTTCAGATATCACCTCTTAAGTATTATTTCAGTTCCCTGTACTTTAAAAGAGGAAATGAGAATTTGAAATAGTTTTTGTAGATTTTCAAAGCCCATACATCCTACAAGGAGGAAGAGAATGTATGTGCTGCACACGTAGGAGCCAAATTCAGATTCCTTCAACAGGCTGTAGATGAGTGAAGATGGATTGATATCTTAGGAAAAAGAGTAGGGAATGAAAAATGGGAGGGACTGGAATACTAATTGTATTTTAACTGGCCAGTTACCACTGAGCCCCATGGGTGATTGTCAAATGGGAAAGTGGTCCCAGGAAAACCATGCACTAAGATTTCTGAACAAATTTAGATGTGCAGAATTTTAAATGAAATCCTCATGCATTTTAATGTTGGTAACAGATATTTAAGTTATAATCCCATGGGTCAAATAAAACATGTCAATGGGCTGCCAGGAAGCTACATCTGGATTGGCTTGTGTGTATGTGTGCGTGTGTGTGTGTGTATTGAAAATGAAGGATGTTGAAATACAATTTTATTGTTCATCAATTCTTATGATCAACCAAAGGATTTTTTTTTTTACAAGAAACGAGAGCATTTCATTAATCAGCAGATATTGGCTCCCATAAGATTACAGCAACATATTTATTACCATGAATAATGAATATTTTAAAAGGAAGCTGTATTTGCTTCTTTTCTGTTTATAAACAGGTTGATTGAGAAAAGAAAAAGATATCCTATAGGGCTGTAAATTATTATTGGTAATTGATATTAAGAGAGGATCTACGTAGTATTTAAGGGCTGATTCTACAAAAGTTAAGGGTAGAATAAAGACTTTTAAAGTTCCTTTCCAGCATCATGTTTAGATCATTATACCAAAATGGGAGAGGAATGGTAATGGAAGATGCAATGAAGAAGAGACAATATGGATATGCTATTATTCTAGCCCATTGCTATTAAATTGAAATAGTATGTTTGGCAAAGGTGAAATGAAAATTTTGTACACAGAAAGGGTGGGGATTGATGAAGAAATACACAGCTGCAATGACACAATGTGTGGTTCCCCGAGTGATAAGAAGAGAAATTTAGAGAATCCTGGAGTCCAGTGTGTTATTTAGCCACTCCAAACAGTACATCGCATCTGTTTAGTGGATAAAGCAAAGGACAATGAAAATTCCTATTTCTGGTATTGGTTGCTCTGGGACCAGAAAAGGAATAGAATGTCACCTTTTGGCATTCAGGTCACCACTTATGTCAAAAAAAGATGATGCACATCCCAAAGGCACCTTGTACATAGTTTTTGATATCTATAAATCATTTACAGAGTTTTAAAAATTAGAGCTGTCACAAAACCAGGGAATATTATTCTGTCTCCATAATTTACAAAATTAATGAATTATAGTGGCCAGCCACCAATCAGAGGCCACTGGAATAGTCTCGTTTGCTTTTCATCTTTGCTCATTTTGGAACCCATCACGTTTATTTTCAAGTAATGTTCTCTCTGTTCACTTTAGCTCTGCATTTAATTTAAATAAAAAAGCAGCTCTAGGCTGATTCATTATTTAAATTGCAGTCTCCACACTCCCCTTTGGAGACCGAGGCATCCATATACATGTAAAGCTGCAGTTAGGCAAAAAGATGAATAAGTTACATACTAATATCCAGGGGCCCAGCTCTCAAGCATGAATTATATAAAGTTCATTGCCCTTGTTTTCATCCTTTCAAGCAGTCCTTTGGTAGCTTTGAGTGAGATGTTAACTTCATACTTAGCTCATAGTGCTACCTTCATTCCTTAGAAAAAGATAACAAAAATGAAGAATCTGAAGGCCATCTTTACAGATTATATCTCTTACAGCTTGGTGCATGATGTAGAAAGTAATATGTTTTCTATCTACCCTAATTATATATAAGACATCAAACCAATCCTGGAATGAAAGTAAACACACACAACAGTTCGCACCTTACAGAAGAAATTAAAAAAAAATAGATGAGTTCATATTGTTTCATGCAGCCTATCTTCCAGGCTTCTTGGGAATTAACCTCAGTAAGTCCAATGTTCTCCAGTTCTCACCAACGCAATACGTTGAATTTTGTATAGTATACATCCATATCCATTTATGTTTTTCCAAGTATATGCACACACTTAGTTTGAACTGTGGAGAGTGATATGGAGAGCAGAGGTCCCAGAATATAAAATAGAGGGAAAAGGAATGGCTGCCTGCAAAGACTTGCCTCCTTTTTGAACAATAAGCTGCATACCGGACATGCGTCAGTCATGGACATTTGCGTGCTGTAAGGATCTTAACTGGGGAAGGAAATGGATTTTTAAAAGCAGTGTATTGTGCAAGCTCTGTCTCTCCAACCAGACTGTGCTGATACTTTACCTTCCGGAGGGGCTTGAGCTTGGTCTCCATGATGAAGTCGTACTTGCAGAGTTCGCAGCAGCGCGTGTCTGAGCTCTTGATCCACTGGTGGAGACAAGACTGATGGACAAAGCGCAGGGTCCCCGTGCAGCGACACGGTGTGATGAGGGGGCTCTCCTCATCCCCCTCACAATGACAAATCCTGGGGAAGGACAAAGCAGCCTGTGTGAGTTCTCCCAGAGAGCATATCTCACCATTAGAGTTCCACACTTGCCTGTAACAGAAACTGCCATCCAAGAGTTAGAACACAAAGACATTTCACTCCAGCTTGGATGCTAGAACTGAACCTATAATCAATATTACTTATTTTAACTTGTCTGGTCACTGCTAGACTCAAGTCATGTTATTTTAAGGTGTTAGTCACCAGCACATCAAAAATACTGTACACTGGGCTGGGGATTTGGCTCAGTGGTTCCGCCACCTTCCTTGCAAGTGCAAGGGCTTGAGTTTGATTGCCGGTACCACTCTCCCCCCAGCAAAAAATTACTGTACACCGTCATTTCATTACTGAAGCCAGTTTTTTTTTTCTTTTTTTTGGTGGTACCTGGGATTGAACTCAGGTCCTTGCGCTTGCAAGGCAGGCAGCAGAACCACTGAGCTAAATCCCCGGCCCAAAGAAAGAGGACAGAGGACAGAAGGGCACAAAAGCCTACGGCACCTGGTATTCCCAGGCAGTCTCCCATCCAAGTTCTAGCCAGCCCCAACCCTGCTTAGCTTCCGAGATCAGAGAAGATCAGGCCTGGTCAGAGTGGTATGACCATAGACCTGAGGCCAGTTTTAAGAGCATAAGTATTGAGCTATGTCCCCTGTTTAATCTGTTGAATAGGTTAGTCTCTATGTGTTTTCATATATATATTTGTGTATGTGTGTGTGTGTGTGTGTATACATATACATATA